TAAATAAGCTCCATCCTGCAGCTGTTTCATTGGTTAAAGGTGACTAAATAAAAGGTTTATGCATAACTGCGAGCCTCTGGAGGATCCTACACCTTGATGGACTCCAGAGGCACCAGCAGCTTCAAATACATGTTTGCTGCTTTGTAATGGCATTTTAGCAGCTGCTTTTGTTGTGCCTTTATCTGCACAAACCCACGCATGAATCAGCCACAAATCTCCTAACAGTACAGATCAACAGTAGAGAACAGTACAGATCAAGCTTGAGTTTTTGTCAAATATCTAATGTTTTTATACCATGTCCAAGGCACTTGATGACTTCATGATTTTCAACAGTTAGGAGAGTTTTTTCTCTTCCATATTGCTTGAAAGTGGTCTGCTTAATAACGTGGAACATCTTTCTTTAGTGGTTTTTCCTYTAGCTGAGCTCACCTGGCAAACTAACCATCACAGGTGTCTGAGATTGATTTCAGTGATTCAAAAAGCCCTGGGACTCCAAACTATCCATGATTGGAAAACAAAAAAAACTGAATCTAAATCACACTTAAATACAACTTGCATAATAATGTTGAACACAGTGTAAACCAGATATGTGGGGTTTGACAATAGACACACACACAGTACCTGCGCTGACTCAACAAGGGTTTTCGGCTCGGAGTGTGAGACATCGAAGTGATGAGCGATGTCCAACGTCTCCACGGCTGTTTCTAGYGGGGAACTCTGCAACCCCTTGCAGCTAGACTGTAACAACCAGCACAGAGAGCAAAACAAGCAAATAAGCAGCAAATCACCAGTAAGTTTAAAACCCTGGTAAATGAGTCTTAAAATATGCAGAATGATTCCCCGTGGAGAAGTCATCACCGAAGCCTAGAGACAAAAGTCTGAGCCTCATCAAAAATAATCTGGGCCAGGAGCAAATAAAGCTTCCTTTCTGTTCTGACACAAAGAGGACAGTCAGCTGCTTCTGTCTGAGCTGGACTCACATCTGCAGAGCTGAAAATAAGCATCATTAGGCCTAACATTCACTGCTGAGWTACAAGGACAAAGACACTCTGACATTTGGTGGCTGGCAGAGACATTAACAAGTTTAGACTGAATTAGAAATCAGGAGCTTGCCCTTCCTCCAATAGGTGGTCCTAGAAAAATTATTTAAAATCAGTTTGATGTCATTTTTCAAGTCCATACATAAAAAAAAAAAAAAAATCAGAAGAAATTGAAAACATGACCTGAAAGGGTATTTTAGTTCTAAATGCTTTTATTTAAACATTATTTCAAACAAATGCTTTCAACTATTTAGTTTTGAAGAGTTATGTTTGTGGCTATTTTTTTCTATTTTGCTAAGAAAGGTTTAGCTATTTTGAACTGGGKTTGTGCAAAATAAACAAACATTATCTTACCTGTCGTGGATTTAACTGACCTTAGTTTGGAGAAAAAGATACAGTTTGACTCATTTGGTGAGTTAACAACTAGTCTGGACATAACTAAAACCAAAGTGGACTTCTGTTGTCTCAGAACAGCTCCGGTCCAACACGTCATAGCTGTTCTTACAGAACTCTATAGTTTCCAGACTGTTGAGCCACACCTAAATATAAGCTGCACCCACTAATTAAAATAAAAAAACAAAGAATTTTACATATATAGGACACACTTGGAAGCCACAGTTGTACACATTGTAACATGAGATATTTACACAGAAAGATCTTACACACAGGGGCGTCTGCAGGATTTTATCAAAGGGTATGCACAAAATCAGCAAACTGCACCTGAAACACACAAATACAGCCCCACAAACGTGTGATGCGCATGGTAGTGTTGTAGTCAAGACCACCTAACCCAAGACCAAGTCAAGACCAAGACCACAGTGTCTCGAGACTGAGACAAGACCAAGACTTTTAGGGTTTGGACCAAGTCGAGACCAAGACCAAGGGAGGCCAAGACCGAGACAAGACCAAGACCACAGTGTCTCGAGACTGAGACAAGACCAAGACTTTTAGGGTTTGGACCAAGTCGAGACCAAGACCAGATAAAAAATGTGTCCTAAAACATGGAGTATTGTGTACACATGTACAGTGGGGGGAAAGTATTTAGTCTCTCATTGAAGTCTAACTATGATGTCAATCACAGGCCTCTCTCATCTTTTTAAGTGGGAGAACTTGAACAATTGGTGCTGACTAAATACCCCCGTAGCTAACTTAATATGTAGAGCTAATATTGACAAAATCTTTGTGTGAAGGCAGAGGAAAGAATTTACTAGTTCTATTCTGACTAGTCATTAACTCAGCAATTTGTCCAGAACTGAACTATTTTTCTCCAAACTGAAGTAGGGTTGGGCAATATTGGCAAAAAAATTAATCACGATTAATTGTGGTATTTAGCTGATAACGATTAATTTGATGATTTATCCCCTGGAGTCCCTGGACACCCTCATGTCCTGATCACATGACCAATTTAGTGGGAAAGATTTGCTCTTCATACAAATCTGTTCCAAACTGTGTCAAAATTAGACTTCAGGCTGTACATCAAATTTTAAATTGTGGTGATAGATAAATAAATTACACAACTTTTTTTTAATGTTCATCATATTTGAAGCTAGGGCTGCCACGATTAGTCGATTAGTATTAAAATAATTGATGACTAATTTAATAATCGATTAATCGTTTTCTTTTTTTTATTGTTGTCGGTTTTTACTTTGTTTTTCTCTCCAAACTGCTTTGACACCTTCCACTGCCACATCTGCCTTTCTGTCCTTGACACACATGCACAGTAGAGGTAACTGGGGTAGGCCGTGGACGTCACAAGACATTATACAGACAGGCTCTGGTAGGCTCTGGTATCATGGCTACCCAGCAACGGAGCTCAAAAGTGTGGGATCATTTTAAGAAAATGAAAGAGAAACCTGTGCAATATCTGCAGAGCAGAACCTGTCTTCCACAGCAATTATTTTTAGTTAGCATATAGCTAAAATCTAACGATGGTTTTATAATAGCAGCTGCATTCTGACGTGATAAGCTGTATGTTTTATATTCAATTAACGTATGATCCAATTAGTCGACTAATCGAAAAATTAATCGGAGGTTAATCGATTATAAAAATAATCGTTTGTGGCAGCTCTATTTGAAGCAGAGAGGAGCACCGAGAGGACTCTGCCTGGTGGCATTAATCGTATTAATCGTCAGGTACCAAAAAAATAACCCATTAATGTTTTTCTGACGATTATGCCCAACCCTCTGAAGCTGTTTAAAGACTCATCTACAACAGGTAAGATGTTAATTGTTCATAACAATCATACATTAACATCATTCCAATGTGCGTAAAGGTTGTGTCATGCTGTTCTTTTTTAAAAGTTTGTGTATTTTTTTAGAAGTTAAAAACATTACGCCTTTAGTAGAAATAACTAAACAGATATACTGTATGTGAACAAGTCAAGGTAATTTATTTTTAATTTAAAACATTTAATAGCGCGTAAACATAAAGGTCTGCAAAATAACAGTTTTTTTTCTTTTAACTCATCTCTGAATAAATCAATGTAACTAAAACAAACTCAGCCAGTGTTTAAATCAGATTATTGAACTCAGGAGTCCTGTTCAGTCTTATCTAACAGCAGAAATAAGAGGACATGATGTTCCCCGCTGAGGGTCCCAGGAGAACCTGATGAAGAAGACCTCCCTGTGGATCTGTGGATGTTCTGAAGCCTCTCAGTTCCTCCCACGGACTCATTTCTGGGCCGAGGAGGCAGGAGAGCTCACCTCCCTCCATCCTCTGTCTGTCTGCGCAACAAGTGTCCAAGAGCTGGTGGGAAAGACGCAATCATCTTACGTAAGTGTGAGTGTTTACAGCGTGGAGGCGAACCTGCTCTCCTCCTCCTCCTCCTCCTCCTCACCCAGCAGGATGAAGAGGAGCCTGAACTCACAGGAGAACCAGCCTGGTCCTCGGATAATCGGGTTTAAAAATCACATGCTGACCCCACATCTGTCGCCTGCAGCCAGGCCGCCTTGGATTAGCGGGTTTTAGTCCCAAACTCCCACCATCGGTTCTGTGCAACCGGCTGACGGAACACAGGTCCAGAACCGGACCTTCACCGCACCAAAAAGCGACTTTTTCTAGGAGAAAACGCGTCCTACATTTAGTTAAAGGTGGCTCTGACGTCACGCTGACACAGCACGCGCAGTAAACCGTACCGTTCGGGCAGGTGGACGCTGGGCATCATCGGAGAGGTTCGGTTCCGACCCGGCGGCTGCAGGAAGAACAGGTGCTGTCGGTTCTGATGGGAGTCCATCCTGCTGCCATGAAGCCCCGAGATGAACTGAAGCTGCTGCTGCGTCTCTGCTGCAATGCTGCTTCTTAAAGAGACAGCAGGGACCGCAAAGGCACCATCTGATGCGTTCAGGAACCTCCTGAGGCTACAGATCAAGGACGAGGAGCCGCTGCTCTATTTCAAACTTTCAGACTAGTTTTTTTTTCTCTGGATTTTTGACAACTGAATAAACACATATACGGTACATTTTTATTAAAAACGTATTTAGTCCATAATTTTCGCTCTGCAGACCTTTATGATAAAATATATTTGGAGAACGTGTTTCTAAGCTCTCAGTGCTCACTCAAGTTTGACCTCCAAATTAACAACCTGTCCTTGGTTAAATTACACATTATTAAAAAACACAAATTATATGATAACACAATATGAACTTATACTTACCCTGGATATACTACACTCAATAACATATGGATTTAATTTAAAAATATATCAACTGATTCCACTCAACTGAATTAAGTAAATTTGCTTTACTGTAAGTAAATGTTACATTTATTTAATTCAGTTGAGTGGAAACAGCTGACATAATCTTTTTTAATTAAATACAATTTATCTGTTTTATGTGTAAATTGTGAGAGGTGTAGGCCTGTGTAAAACACAAGGAAGTAAAAAATACCTTCACAGAAAAGACTTAAGTAAAAATGAATTTCACTGATAAGAAAAGTAGACATAGAACTGCTCACAATGATTGGGAAAGTAAAAATACTTTTAGATGTGAACAAACCCTTTCATGGTGAGTTCCAGGCAGTGAAGAATTAAAAGT